ATACTTTACCCGTCACTCCCTTTTAGTTGCTTAAAAAAAGCAAACTGGCTCCTTACCTGAGTGTCCGAAGCCTTCGGGCGCGTGGCTGATTCGGATGCTTGCTGCTGAGTTCACTTCCACTGCTGGTGTCTCACATACACAGGGGTGAGTGACATAAGGCAGGTCTGGGGCCTCTCATAGATACCAGGTGACAGGAAATCAGTGGCTTCTGCTACCTTGGCCTTTGCCCCAATCACTTCGGTTTAATGCACACTTACCAGAGCCAAAGGATATACAAAAAAGTTTCTGCCTTACCAGGAGGTTTCACTTCTTGAAAAGGACCCCAGGGGACTGCCTGGCGTACTTTACGCTACCTTAATTAGAAGAACTTTGCAGCCCCCACCCTGTAAGCAGGTGTGGATGGTGGATCCCCAAGGGCAAGAAGGGCTCTAGAAATTCTCTAAAGATGGGCTGTTAGGACTTTTACCTTTTTACTTCACTTTTAGGAGTGAATAGGTAGGAGGAAGGTATCCAAGTGGAGAGATTCAGGAATCATTAAGCCCGGTCGTTTGGGAGTGCTGTAGGTATCCTTCTTCAAATATTGTCCACATTTACCCACACTTAGGGTTCTAGTGGGACCAGGTATGTCTTGTGTGGGATTTACTAGAAATGGCCTAAAAGTATACGTTGGTGCTGTAGAATACATCCTCAGAAGCTTGAGGCAAGAGTTCATGTTTTGGGATACAAACTGAAGTAGCCCTTTTACCTACAAACCACCTCTTTTTCTTCCATCTGTCTCATTCCCTTGTGTCCCCTCTCTTTTCAGTCTGGCCTGGAGCTATACCACTGCTAGATCAAGTGAGAGAATGGAGGAAGCCGGTAGCCAAGGAAGTGTAAATATTTGGGAAAAAATCAAAGAAAGTTTTGCCCAAAGATATTGTTTCCCCTGCCCCCACCATATACAACTTTTATGTTCATATGTTGGATTTCTCGTTGCTTTTAATTTCCTTGTCCCTTGCTTTATTTTAAGAGAGACCCAGGGCTATAATTAGGTAGTTGTTTGCCTAATCTAAAAATATGGCAGCTCTCCTGCCAAATTTGAGGTTAATTCCTATCTTCCCTCCATCTCTCCCTCTATCCCTCTCTCTTCTCACCTCTCTCTCTCTCCCCACCTCCTTCCTCTGTTCTCTGTTTCTCCCTCTGCCTCTCTCTATGATGACGGTTTGGATCAGAGGGTTAGAGCCGATGGGTAGGAGTAGTTCTGGGGTGCCTGATTTTGGGGTAACATCAAAACAAGTGCCATCTTCCCACCATCGAAGCAGTTCATTAGTGGAACAGGCTACCACGTGAATAGAGAACTTGCTGTCATCAAGTATATACAAGTAAAAGGCAAACAGTCACCTCTCATAAATCTTATAGAGAGAAGAGGAGCAGAAACATAAGATCTGCTGTCTATTTAAGCATCTGGTTGTAGGTCTGATGATCTGCTGGAGTGCTTGAATGTTGGCGACAGGGATGATAATTACAGGAGATCTGAGCTGTGGGTGATTGTGAGGCCAGAGGTTGGAGTCCAGGATGATGGGTGGTCACTGGAATCTGCCTTCATGTTAGTTGGCATGGAAATTTGGCAAATGCCTGGCATCAGTGAGGCTTGGACTGAGTTTTCATATCCTTTTCTCACACAACCTGAATTTTCGTATCCTTTTCTCTATGTAGGCCCTGTTTTTCCAAGTCTTTCTTAGAGTGTTTGTTACTCTGTTTTTTTTGTGGCCAGTGAGATCAGTTAGGCAGCTCTTGCGTGATTCCTCCTGAATAAACTTGAATTTGAATTTATATAAACAAACAAACTTTCACTTTGTCTTTGCTGGTTTGGATTGATTGACTGCAGTGCTGAGTGTGTTGAAATCCCAACTACAGTCTGGATTTCTCAGTAGCACTTCCTGTGTTTCATAATTTTTTTTTCTCTGTAATGTTTGAGGGTATTAGGTCAAATATGTACACATTTAAAATCTCTCCCCCTCTTGTCATTACCTAGTGGCCCTCTTGCTTCCAGACGATGATCTCTTTCTTAAAGTCTACACAAAATTTTATTAACTAAACTTTAATTTAGTTCATATTTGCCTTCCTTTTATTCCCCCTACCTCCTAATTCTCCTATTTTTTTTTTTTTTTTTTGTCCTTGGAACGTTTTGCCTCTCCTGTGGAAACTACATTCTACATCATAATTACTTGTGTCCTTGCCTTACTCAGCCATTTGTCTATATGTCCCTTGAAAGTGGGGCTGGTTTTTCTGATTGCTGTGAGAGATTGTGATTCTGCTTTAGTTCTCCCATCCAGATGATTATCACAATGCTATCCAGTATCAGGAGAGCTTTGTAGTTTACGAGGTCTTCCTTCTGTTCTGAGGGACTACTTTATATTTTTAACAGGCAAATAAAATGAGTTGAACACCTACTTATATGCCAAGCACTGTCCATATAACACCTATAGTATTGATTCCATTTTGTAATTGTGGGGACTAACAATCAGGAAATGAGGGAAACTGGCCCCAAGCCACATATGTGATAAAAAGTGATGCTTGGAAAGCAAAAAAACCCCTCAATTATAAATTTAAAAGAAAACCTACCATTTACCATGTGATTTTTAAGTTCAAGGCACTGATTAAATTAGTTCACATTTCATTTAAGGCTCATGGTAAACCCATTAGGTAGGTAATATTATTGCATTTTAGTCTAGGAGTTTAAAGCTCACAAAGGTTAAATAACTTGTCCAAGTCACTAAGCTTTAAATTGTAAAACTGACATTTAGACCTAGGTCTGACTTAAAAGCCCTTATTGTTAGGTGATGGGGATTCTCACCCTTAAATATATCTCACATACCCATACCTCTCAGCCTCACTCAGGCGCCAGATATTTTTCATCAGAACATGATTCCACTGGAAATAAATTTTTTAAATAAATATTTTTCATTAGAATCTCATTCCCCTGTCTCCTGCCCTTACATATGTACCCATAGGCCTTTCTCCTTCCAGCTTATGGCAGAAATGAAAACCTGATAGTTTATCTCTTTGCATATGCTAAATGTTTTCTATGCCAAAAGAAGCAAAGGATAATGAGATTTGGAGTTGGGCATCTTGACTCAAATCCTGGTTCTAAATCCTGCTCCCTTTTGTGGTCTCAGAAAAATCAACCACTTTGAGCTTCAGTTTTCATGTCTGTGGACACAGGCTAGATGTACCTACCTCAGAGGGCTGTCATGACAGCTGGGATGACAGAAGGAGATCCCTAATACTTAGCAGGTGTTCAGTCAGCGGAAGGAAATATAATGTAAGGCAGCCATCTCCCTGTGAGGCCTGGGAATCTCCCGGAGTCCTTGAGGCTCTTTCAGGGGGTCTGTGATCTCAAGACAGCTCTCATAATAATACCAAGACTTTAGTTTCCCTTTACGCAAGTTTACATCTGTCATCTCCACAGGCTACAGAACATGAGCTATCACATCAGACTGAATGCAAAAGCAGTTACCAGAATCCAATTGCCTTCTATTAAGCTCGAGAGAAGCTCTGCATTGGAATCACCTAGAGATCTTTAAAAACTATTGATGCCGGGCTCTCACCACATTCTGATTTAATTGCTATTGGGTGGTATCTGGTGCATTTGGGGGCGGGGAGGGCGGCGCGGGTTATTAAAGTTCCTCTGGTGATTTGAATGTGCAGTAAAGTTAAATTGGCCTTTGTTTTCAAAGTTTTTGTTATGCAAAATGAATAAGTTCTAAAGATCTACTGTACAACAGAGTACTTAGTTACTAATACAGAATTGTACACTAAAATATGTTAAGAAGATAGATCTCATGTTAAATGGTCTCATCAAAAAACAAAGAAACAAAACCCCACAAAAGAGCACAAGAAAATTTTGGAGCTGAATGTTTAGTACCTCGGTTATGGTGTTGGCATCAGGAGAGTACATATACATTAAGTGTGTGCCTTTGTTTGTAAATAAACTATAACTAAAAATAGCTAAAAATAAGATAAAAGAATGTTAAGTAAGCTAAAAAAGGAGATTTGTAAAACTATGTATCAGTGCCACTCTTCACACTCATTTTTTTTAATTTTGGAAAATAACAGTTATGTTAATAAAAGGTTACTTTTATTGATGTGTAATGAGTCTTCAATAATTTTTTCAGAGTGTAGAGGGGTTCTGAGACCAAGAATCTAAGAGACGTTGGTATGTTGGTGTAGGGATTAAGACCCTGGGCTCTGGAGCCAGACTGCCTGTTGCTACCATGCTTTGTCACCTGGGACACTCTGCTCACCTTCTCTAGCGTTCAGTTTCCTTGTCCATGAACCGTGTATAATAACAAAATTCGCCTCTTAGACTTTTTGTGAGGTTAAATGAGTAATACACAAAAAACACTTAGCATGGTTCTTGGAACGTTATAGTGGCTTTCAACCAACATATATCCTCCGTGTTACTATTCTAGTTGTTATGAGTGGCTCGCATTGATGATCTTGCAGTATCAATGCAAAATCTGTGGGCCAAGCCATTCTTCCAACCAACTCATTTTTCCACACAACCATGGAGCCACTAGGTAGAATCTCTTAGAGAAATCAGCAGGAGATATGATAGACCTGGTCACTCCACACCGTGCGCTTTGGTTCATTTCTCTGTTTGTACGGTGGCAACACTGCATTGCTGTCCTTCGGTTCAGTGCATGCATGACTAACAGAGGAGTGGCACCAAGATGACCATGTGATTTGGGGAGAGGAAGAGATGGCATTGCAAAGAGGCAGGATGTGTTTTATCAGCCAAAAGTGTTCCCAGACCCCACTCTCTTAAGTCACTTCCCTTTGCTTCTGACAGTTGCCAGTCTTAAGATTCTAAGTTCCTTCTGGCTTTTTCTCACAAACATAATTCACTTCTTGATGATATTATAACATGTCTTTATTCCCACGGTGATATTCAGCACCATTAGTCACAACAATAAAAGGGTCTCCTCATAACTGAGAAAGACAGAGAGATGAATAATTCAATAATGCTGAAGGCCATCAACATAATCAAAATTCCCTGTAACAGAAGAAGAAGAAAAAAAGAATCACGGTATTAGCACAATAATGGTTTTTCTGATAACAGTGAGGTAGCAATGCCCATTTAAGAAAATCTCTTCCACATGTCTCAAGTGTATTGGATGCTTAGGAAGTAAAATAGTGGAGGATCACGAGAGCATACAGTTGTTTCAGCACAGGACAGCACATTATTTTCTTAGAGAAAGTCATACAAAACAATCCACATTCTATATCATATGCAGAAATGTTCCATTTCATAAATATATACAATACAAAGAAATAATGTGAAAAAGTGGTCTGTTGAAGGAGAAAGAAAGGTTAAGAAATAGAAAAAAAAAATAGAAGCGGAAATAGAAAAGGAAAGAAAAAGAGGGTAAAAACCCTAAAGGCACAGACAAAAGAGGAACGTGGAGAAAAACACACACAGAAAAGAAGCATAGGCGAATAGTACCATCTTCTGTTCTTTTTATCACTGCTAGAGACCATTTTCAAATGCTTTGTAGCTTGGCAACAGAGAGCATGAATAGGATACACACCTTGTTAGGAACCCAGAGGCTGGACATACAAGTGTTTTGCCGGTGAAAGTTTGTGAAGGTCATATGGTTAACATTCTGTTCTGCAACTGTATCTTTCTACATGTTTTGAGTATAGGTTAAAATATTGTTTATTTTAGAGTCACATGGTTTTTAATGGCCACATAATAATATCTCATGGTAGAGTTGCCATAATTCATTTATTCTTTAGTGACAGGAAATAATTTATTTACTTTTCCTCCTCTTCTGTTGTGTTTATTCATTCTTTTTTTTTTTTTTAGATTTTATTTATTTATTTGACAGAGAGAGAGATAGTGAGAGCAGGAACACAAGCAGGGAGAGTGGGAGAGGGAGAAGCAGCTTTCCGCCCAGAAGGAGCCCCATGCAGGGCTCCATCCCAGGACCCTGGGATCATGACCTGAGCCGAAGGCAGACGCTTAATGACTGAGCCACCCAGGCACCCCATGTTTGTTCATTCTTAATGCTCTGAATAATGCTGCCAATAAGCATTCTTGTACACATGCCCTTATATGTAGGTGTTTAATTGCTATGGAGATAGCTACCTGGATATCTTTCATGTAAATAAATGCCTCCTTCCTTTCTGAAATGGTAGTAACATTTCAGATTTCTGCCACCAATACACAGGAACATCCTTTCCACCATTTCCCTACCTGTGATAATTTTTATAACTTTTATTTTTGCCAATCTAATAAATGTATCTTAGTCCACTATTAATTTAATTGGCATTTCCCTGACTACTAGTGAATTCGAACATCACTCTGAGTATATTTGGCCACCACATTTGCATTTTTGTAACTTCCCTCCTCATAATCTTGTCCATTTTTTAAATTGTGTTCTTGACTTTTTGTTAGTTATATTCATTCTTTGTATGTAAAAGCATTGAAACTGCTGTTATCTGCTTTAAAAATATTTTCCACTTCTTTTACCATGCCAGATTTTATATTTAAGTATATATGTATTTTACCCTTTTTTGATTTCCAGATCAACATGTATCACCCCAGTAAGTTCACTTGTGTCCCTTCCCAGTCAATCCCCCCTACCCCAGCCAGAGGCAACCACTGTTCTGATTACTAACACCATTTAATAACTTTGCCTGTTCATTTTTGTATCTGAATTTGTTTGTTCAGTATAATGGACTGAGATTCATCCATGCTGTTGCATGTATCAGTAGTCTGTTTTCTTTCTTGTTGCTAAGTAGTTTTCTGTTGTTTGAATAACCAGTTTCTCTAGCCACTCTGTTGTTGATAGACATTTGGATTGTTTCTAGTTTTTAACTGTTATGAATAGGTTTTCTGTGAACATTCTTGTATATATTGCTAAGACATAAAATAGGCCTTGTTAATTTTGATAAAAACTACCAAATAGTTTTCCAATGTGGCTGAGCCATTTTACATTCCCACCAAAAATGTGTAAGAATTCCATGTGCTTTACATTCCTGCCAACATTTTCTTTTGCCAGTCCTTTTCATTAAAGTCATTCTGCTGTGCATACAAACATTGTGATTTTGAATTTGCATTCCTCTGGTAACTAATAATGTTGAGCACATTTTTACATGCTTACTGGCTGTTGGCAGATCTTTTACTGTGAAGTACTTGTTCAAGTCCTACTCATTTTTTTTTGGTCTTTTTATTATTAATATTCAGGTGTGCTTAATATATTCTGGATATGGGTCTTTAGTCAGATATATGCATTGAGGAGATTATCTCCCATTCTGTGCCTTGCCTTTTTTTTTTTTTTAACTTGAGATGTAATTGACATATAACATTGTGTGTGTGCATTGTTTGCACAAGGCGTGCAGTGTGTTGATTTGAAGCATTTGTATGTTGCAATATGATTACCGTTGTGGCATTAGATAACACCTCTCTCATGTCACATAATTATCATTTCACTTTTTGTAATGGGAACAATTTAAGATCTAATCTCTTTGCAACATCGAAGTATATAATACAGTATTGCTAACAATAAGCACAATGCTGTGCATTAGATCTCCAGAACTTTTTCATCTTCTAATTGAAAGTTTGTACTCTTTGGCAAACATCAGTCCAAATTCTCTGCCCCGCAGCCCCTGGTAACCACCGTTCCACTCTGTTTTTATGAATGTGGCTTTTTTAAGATTCCACATGTAAGTGATATTGTACAGTATTTGTTTTCCTCCATCTAGTCAGATGGAGATCTCATTTAGCATAATATCTTCAAAGTCCTTTCACTTTGTTGCAAATGGTAGGATTTCCTTCTTTCTTGGCACTGAATAATATTCCATTGTGAATGTACCACATATACATCCATTGGTGGATGCTTAGCTTGTTTCCATGTTTTGGCTATTGTGAATGTGGCTGCAATGAACATGAAAATGTTCATATCTTTTTGAGTTAGTGTTTGCTTTCTGATAAATACTCAGAAGTAGAATTGCTGGATTGTATAGTAGTTTTGACTTCTGAGGACCCTCCATGTTGTTTTCCATAGTGGTTGTGCAAGTGCATTTGCATTCCTACCATTAGTGCACAAGGGTTCCATTTCCTCCACAACCTCACCAACACTTGTTATTTCTTGTCTTTTTGATAATAACCTTCTAACAGATGTGAAGTGATATTTCACTGTGGTTGTGATTTGCGTTTTCCTGATGGCTCATGATACTGAACGTCTTTTCGTGTACCTGTTAGCCATCTGTTATGTCTTCTTTAGAAAAATGTCTCTTCAGATCCTCTGCCCATTTTTTATTTTTATTTTTTTGCTATTGAGTTGTACAAATTCTTTATATATTTTGCTTATTAGATATGTGATTTGTACATTTTTTTCCTATCCCATAGGCTGCATTTTCATTTTATTGGTGGTTTCCTTTGTTGTGCAGAAGCTTTTTAGTTTGATGTAGCCCCACTTGTTTATTTTGCTTTTGTTGCTTTTGCTTTGGGTGTCAAATCCAAAAAATCATTGCCAGGATGGATATCAAGTAGTTTACTACCTGTGTTTTCTTCTAGGAGTTTTATGGGTTTAGGTCTTACATTCAAGTCCTTAATCTGTTTTGAATGGATTTTTGTGTATGGTGTAAGATAGTAGTCTACTTTCATTTCTTTGTGTGTGGCTGTTTAATTTTCCTAATACCATTTATTGAAGAGACTGTCCTTTCCCTGTCATATATTCTTGGCTCCTTTGTTGTAAATTAATTGACCATATGTGCATGGGCTTATTTCTGGGCTCTCTATTCATTCCACCGATCTGTGTGTCTATTTGTATACTCATACCATGCTGTTTTGATAACTCTAGCTTTGTAGTATAGTTTGAAATCAGGAAATGTGATGGCTTCAGCTTTGTTTTTCTTTCTTTCTCAAGATGGCTGTTGCTATTTGGGGTCTTTTGTGGTTCCATAAAATTTTAGGACTATTTTCTATTTCTAAGAAAAATGCCATTGGTGTTTTGATGGGGATTGCATTAAATCTGTATACTGCTTTGGGTAGTAGTATGGACATTTTAACAATATTAATTCTTCCAATCCATGAACAGGGGATATCTTCCCATTTATTTGTGTCTTCAATTTCTTTCGTCAATGTCTTAAAGTTTTCAGTGTACAGATCTTTCACATCCTTGATTAAATTTATTCCTAAATAGGTTATCTTTTTTGATGTGATTGTTTTCGTAATTTCTTTCTCATAGCTCGTTATTAGTGTATAGAAATGCAACTGAAACTGATTTTTGTATATTGGTTTTTGTATCCTGCAATCTTATTGAATTTATTTTATTCTAATAGATTTTGGTGGAGTCTTTAGGGTTTTCTAGGTATATGCCCTCTGCAGACAGATACTTTTACTTCTGCCTTTCTGATTTTGATGCTTTTTCTTTGTTCTCTTCTCTTCCCTTCCCTTCTATTTTTCTTTCTTTCTTCCCCCAGTTGCTCTGGCCAGGACTTCTTGTACTTTGTTGAATAGAAATTACGAGAGTAGGCATCTTTGTCTTGTTCCTGATTTTAGAGGAAAAGTTTTGGCTTTTCCCTGTTTAGTATCATGTTAGCTCTGGGCTTGTCATATATGGCCTTTATTATGTTGAGGTGTGCTCCTTTATCTCAGTGTGTTGAGAATTTAAATTTTTTCACGTTGAATTTTGTTAGATTCTTTTTCTGCATCGATTGAGATGGTCATATGATTTTCATCCTTCATTGTGTTAATGTGGTATATCACATTTATTGATTTGTGTATGTTGAACCATCCTTGCATCCCTGGAATAAATACCACTTGATAATAGTGTAGGAGACTTTTAATATACTATTGAATTCAGTTTGCTAACAATGTATTGAGGATTTTTGCATATATGTTCATCAGGGATATTGGCTTGAAATTTCTTTTCTTGTAGCGTAGTTGTCTGGTTTTGGTGTGGGTAATCCTGGGCTTGTAAAATGAATTTGGATCCTTCTTTTCTATTTTTTTGAAGAGCTTAAGGATTGGTGTTAATTCTTCTT